GACCTGGGTGCCGGCTACAACCCCCCGCTGCTGCCAGCACCCAGCAGGAACGGGTGGGAGAGGGAGCAGCAAGGGTGCTGGCGTGCCTGGGGCCTTTCCTCTTCTTTCCTTGGCTTTTCAATAGTTTGACTCCACAAGCTGAAGTAAAAAGACCCCGTCACCCCATGACGAGACTCTGGCCTGCTGTGCGTCTGGTGGAGCCAGCTGGGCACATCTGGACAGAGGTCGTATTTCTTGAAAGGACCGGTCCCTAGATGAATCACATCTGCAACAGAAATCTTGTGTGCGTTGGCGTGCCGCAGGCAGCAGCGTGGGCTGCCGTCGGGGTGCAGCACCCACAGCCCCTGCAGGAGGGGGGTGCGAGAAGGGACCCCCCCAGTCCCCGTCCCGGGGTGCACGTGCTGCGAGAGGAGGGGAGTGGGAGTGTGTCTGCAGTTGGGGGGGGATTAGGACTTCTCGGAATGAGTTAGAGACGGGCATTTAGACCTCTCCGTGTGTTTTTTAATATTTCAGAGGTGCCTAGCATCGTGCTTTGTCGGCTGCATTGCAGATATTGATCCCAAGCACGTAGTTCACCGATTGCTGGATGATTACTTGTCATTAGTAAGTCAACAAACATCTTCGATCCCGATTTCTTCGAGCCAACGTGATTTGAACATTTTTTTCCTGGTGACAGGTAGCTGGTGCAGAATTAAGGATATCTTTGTAAAGATCGTTGTGTTTTTAAGAAATTGTGCCCGAGAAAATCTCGCTGGGAGGCAGGCTCTGAGAGCTCCATTTGTTTTCTTGTGTGCCCTGCCAGACCCAGCAGGCGTTTGTTCTGCAACGCCTGTAAGGAATTGTCCTCGTCAGGAGTCCTAAGCAAGGAGGGAACCAGCCGTAAAACCAGCTCCCCGTGAGGACTGGTGTTTATGGTGCCTTCTCTCTTCATTTCACTGCAAACATTGTCAATGCCAAGCACATTTTAAAAAGAGATTTCTCTTATTGTTCTTGCATTAGCTAATAAACAATCAAACGGCTTGAGTTTGAATTCCCTTAAGAAGAACAAAAAAAAAAAAGAAGAATCAAAATATCTCTATGCAGCCCTCCTAGGAGAAATCAAGGCTGGAAATCTCAGGGGGCACCTAGTTAATTTTTCATGGAACACTTAACCACACTGCCAAGCCACACCATCGCGTAACTGGAATCTGATGCCCTGGGGCACTCGGTGGAGGGGCAGCCTTCGGCCGTGGGCAGGCACCAGCGTTGTCCCCTGGGGATGTACACGGACCCCAGCAGCCCTGATCCCCCCAGCAGCAGAGGGTGTACCAGTCTCTCACAGTTAATGGTCCCAGAGGAATGAAAGAGCAAACCAAGACAGCCCTGGCCCAGGGGTCCCCGCAGAGGTGGTTTCCTGGGGCAGAAAGGCCATGTCTGGATGATGCCATCAACGGGAGAGCAGAGCAGAACTAGGGACTAATACGTTTCACTTTGCCTGCCCTGGCCAGAGCCTGCTGCTGCCTTCTTGCTCATGTCAAGCTCTCTAACGCTTCTCAGGGCTATGTCCCTCCTGCTGCCTGCCCTTACGTCTCCGTTTCCAGGTGATCTGAGCATCAAAGCAGCCTCTGTTCACATCAGCCCTATTCTTCTCCCTTCGACCAAGTCCGTTCTGCTTTGTCCTCACCCAGTGATTTAGCTTCGTGTTCTCGGGGCTTTGAAAGTTGCTTTAGCGAGACCTGGACATCACAATGTCATTCTCTTTATGGGAATCTGCCTTCGGTTTATCCAAGATATTTAATTGTTAGAGATCTCTGCATTCAGCAACAGCTGGTCAGAGGCCAAGTTACTGCCCTGCCTGAAAGGTCACTGCTCAGAAGCTATTCTCTGCCGTGCCAAAGCGCCCCTTTACTGTGTGCTGACCATTATCAGGTCTGTCATTATGGTAATTTGGGTTTCATGTAGTCACTGCCCAAAGTACAAAGTGATTCAGGAGAGATGATAACATAATACCATCTTGTTCATTCTCTCTTCCACCTTATCAAATGTCACGATCTAGCTGTGACAGCAAGGCTTTGTGCTCCTGAGGTGCCTGGCTGATTAAGTTGCAAGGAGAGGGACAACTCCTTAAGTACTTTGGCACCTTCGCCATCCCTTCCTTGGCCTTTAGCTAAGATATTTTTTAAAGCTGGAATTAATGTGTGACAAAAGCTGGCTAATCTGCTGGAAATACTTATTTCCAAGTTTGCAGAAAGTATTAACTCTGAGCAAGCATTTTTCTGGACTATTATTCTTCAGAGCTGGGGAGCAGCCCATCCACCCCGGTGGTTAATGAGCACATCAGAGGAGTGAATAGTTCACCGCTGTCCCCTTGGCCGATGCCTCTTCCCCTCCACCATGGACTGCTTTCGCTGTGCACGTCGGGATGTGGTCAGCACACAGGGACCGTGTTTGGTCTATGGCCCGCCAAGGAGGGCTTTCTTTTTGCTGCCCCGAAGAGCTGCTGCTCATATATGCTCTGCATACCTGTGGGGTGCTGGTGATCGGTGAAAAAACCTGCCCAGAAATCTGAGAGGGCAGGGGACTGGACAGAGCTGCGATGCGGAGGCAGAAGACCATGGGCAGTTGCAGCACGTTTGTTGAGCGGGGTGGTGTGGCGGGGAGGCCACCTCTCTTGATATGCCCACGCTGGGATCAACAGTCCCCCAGGACTTCAAAATGACCCAGAGCTGACAAGCTCTAGCCTGGGGGCTTCCTGGCTTTGTGGTCAACAGCATCACCCTCTCAACAGTATCTCCCCGTGACAACGCATCCCAGCTCCGGTCCTGTGGGAGTGCTCTGAGGCAGAGGTGGTGGACCTGGAAATAAGACCATGCTAGTCAGGCCAGTGCAGCATTTCCAATTCAGATGGTGTCTCCCCAAAGAGTCTGTCAGCTCAGGGTATCCATAAAGCCATGACACCCAATCCATATGATTTGCTATGGTGTCGTTACTCCTTCCAAATTGAATACCTCCTTTTCCTCAATTATCAAATGGATTATGAGCCATTTCAGGTCACTGGACAGGTGCTGTTGGCTTTGATAAATATTGGGTAAGGTCACAGTCTGTAGGCAAGTCGGGATGGGAACACTGGGCATGTCTTGCTGGCCTGGACAGTGAATATCCAGCTCTGCTACTGTCTCCACGGTCTGTCTTTACGCTGAGAAAGGTGCCGCCTGCTCCTTCATTTATCACCTATAACTTATGGCACATCCCCACTGCATGGGCTTAGTGAGAGGGTAAAGTGCTCAGTACTGCAGCATCGAGAACTGTAGAAGTACTCAACAGCAAGGTTGGACAGTATTTTGATGCATTTTTCAGTCAATACTTCAATTTTATTTGAAGAAAAAGAAGTATTTTATCAGGGCATGACTTTTTAGCCATGTCCACATCGTGACACAAGAGCACGCCCGGAAGGATGATGTACCAAACCAGGCAGCGGTGTGCGGACTGGCACCCAGAGCTGGCCGAGTCTGCCTCTGCACCTATGGGTCATTGCTCAATGATTTACCTAACTCCTAACATCTCTAAGGAAATATTTGCAGTGGAAGTCAACAGAAACCATACGTTGTTTGTTTTGCTCCCCACCAAGTATTCTGGGTGTCCTCAATGACACCGCTTGCCTCTTTCCTGCTGTAAAGCTCTATATATGAAGATGCTCGATGCAGGTCATCTTCAGAAGACAGGGACGTCGGCTGGAGAGAGCCTCGCACTCAAGAGCTTGGTCAGGTAAGAGCAAACTTACTCCTCAGAAAGAGTGCTCGTAGGGTCTGCTTCTGCAAACCTGAACGCTTCCCAAAGGAGCACCTTAATGTTTGGGTGTATTGCCTTTTTAACAAAAATTGTTATTCTTGCCTGCTGCCTGCCTGAATTATGCTGCGACAAGTAAAATGCGCAGTGACTTTCAGTACAAGTTTCTCGTGAACAGACATGCATGTTCATTGTGTTTGCAGTCCTTGGAAAAGAAAGGGTATTTCATGGTTTTCAAAAACAATTATCACTGAAATTGTTTTTGATATAACTGTATTATCTAAGACAGATTTTTAGCTAAGGTGAATTAGACCTCTCACGCTTGTTTTGATCCTTTTTTGATGTTCTATTTACATTTAAATAGATTTGGGGCAATGAAGTTCATTATGGTTCTTAACAACAAAAAAAAAGCTACTTCAAGTTGTAGGTCTCACAGAAATATTTCCATGATACTGAAACTTTAAAAATTATTTTCTCCTTCTTACAAGTCTAGCAAAAGGTGCTTTTATGCAGAGGGAAGCCTCAGAAGTTTGATGTTTGTGCAGAGATCATGACAACCAAAGAAGGAGATGCTCTCCTTACTAGATATGTTGGTGCGTTTGTCCTGTGTAGATGCTGTTGCTTTTCTTTCCATGACTAGAGACAATCATGTTGTCGGAAACATCCTGTTTTCCCATCATGCGGGACACAAGATCTTGTTTCTAAGAGAAATTCCCACGCAGAACAGAGGCACCCCAGGTTGTCCAGATCGGTCACCAGCACCGCTCACCGGCGCTGAGGGATTAAAGCGGCAACAACCAAACGAGCCCTTGCTTTTCACTTGGCTGCTGTGACGGTCGGTCCTTGGAGCAACTGTTGTTGAAGTTCTGGTTCCTCCTGCAGGAAAGTGCCATCAGGGTTTTACTGTGCCCACCGGTGCCGTGAGGAGGTGGGAGAGGTGCCAGCAGCTTTCTCTCTGATTTTGTCTTCCCTGACAGGCACTCTTCCTTTGTCTTTCCTCCCTCCTCCTCTTTCCTCCCTCCACTGGCTTGTGCTCACTGTCCCAGCATTGCACTGATGGCAATCACTTTCCACAGTTATCAGGACCGAAGATGTCTGGGTTCTGGACTGTTTCCCTCCTCTGCAGCCTGCTGATCCCTTCACAAGGACTTGGAACCATGTCCTTGGTTGACAAAGTGGATGCAGGTGGTAAGTCTATGGAAGAGACAGGATTTATCTTTTCTTGAGATCAGTTCTGCTCTTTCTGTCTCTTGACCATGCTCAGAAAATCAGAAGCTGGTCCAGATCCTTTCAGCAGTACAGGCAATGCTGGTAATTTGCATTTATAAAGCACTTTGGAGATGGCACTTCAGATCCTTTACAGTGGCTGGTGCCACCACCCCTATGGTATAAAGAGGGAAATAGAGGGATGGTGGAGGGGAAGGAACAGCCAGGCTGACACAGCGTGTTTGTGTGCTGAGCCCACACAGCTCACAGTGACCTTTTTTCCAGGTGTTAAAGATTCACTAACCAAACGTGACCTCCAGAAGCTTCAAGGTGGTCGCCCTGGCGTCAATCTGCTCAGTGGTCTCCTTGAAAAAGACAGTCCTCTTGGCAGAGTCCTTGGTGGAGATGGTGTCGTTGGTGGTCTCCTCGACAGAGATGGTGTCGTTGGTGGTCTCCTCGACAGAGACGGTGCCCTTGGTGGTCTCCTTGGCGGAGATGGTGTCCTTGGTGGTCTCCTTGACAGAGATGGTGTCGTTGGTGGTCTCCTTGGTGGAGATGGTGCCCTTGGC